CTAGTTTTTGTGCTCCAGCTGGAGCAGGAAAACCCCGGATCAGAGGGTATCTCCCTCCACATCCCTTTTGAAAAAGTTAAAAGACGAGATGGAAAAAGCAGAGGCATTAAAGCAGAGGCATTACCATCTCGCATTTCCCGTCCTAGAAAGCGGTACCAGCGCAGGGCGAACGTCGTAGCATGTTCGATGGTTGCAAGGAGGGGATTGAAGGGCTACTAAAAGCACCCTTGCGTACATTGCTTACGGTAGCCTAGTCCCCCCCCCAAAATGATCAAGAAATCAGAGTCCCCCTACCATTGTAACAACTCCGCGAAAAGTGCGAGTCGGAAATCCAAATTCCCCCTCCTATTTGGGTCGATTTTTTTTGTCCCCCCCCTTTATCGAAACAAAATGCACCTGTCTCCTACTGTATCGATACAATATCATGTGTCCCCCCCTGACACCGAAAGATTTTGACCTTGTCCCCCTACTGATTGCAGCATTAAGCCTAAAAAAAAGCACACTGTATGATATCGCAAAACACACGGCGGGACCGATTCCGGGCTCGGATTGGCTCTACAATAAAAGCATGCACCGCAATCTTAAAAAACCTTTGCGAAACGCAAATAAATACGCGAAACGCCATAGAGTGCAGTACCAAAAAGTGCGGGCAATTGGCGCGTACTCTTCTTTTGAAAACAATAAAGGACATAGTTCTGTAGCCTTCGGCCTGAGCATCGTTCTACATCACTACGAGCGAGCAGTTAGCATTCATAATGCCAAGAGGACCGCCACTCAGCGACATCGAGCAGGGCCAGATCCTGGCCTTGCACCATCAACTAATGTCCTTACGGGATATATCTAAGGAGTTGGGAAGATCCGTAGGAGCCATACAGCCCTTTTTAAAGAATCCGAGTCGTACCTCTCGTGCTCGTGCCCATGTAACTGGTCGAAAGCTCACCGTCCGCCATGAGAAGCCATGATCGGAAAGGCATCCACAGGAAACTTTTCAGCTCGAGATCTAAAGAAGGACCTCGGACTACCGGTACGAGTGCGCAGAATTCAACAATTTTAAGAACAACTCCACACCTGAAGTATAACAAAATGACAACCGCACCCATGAGGACTGCGCTACACCGCTAAAATAGAGTGAAATGGGTACGTCGCTTTATTGGAAAAGGAGATCATTTTTGGAGCAAGGTAATTTTTAGTGACGAAAAGAAGTTCAACTCGACGGCCCTGACGGCAACGCATGCTATTGGCATGATCTCCCGAAAGATGAAAGGTTTTTCGAAAAGACAAAATGGAGGAGCATCAGTCATGGTTTGGGGAGGTATTTCTTCGTACAGGGTGTCCCCGTTGGTCTTTTTAAATGGAAATCAAGACTCTCGCAAGTACTGTGCAACCCTCGACCAAGCTTTACTTCCCTTCACAGCGGAGATGTATGGCGAAATGGCCACTTGCGTTTACCAGCAAGATGGTGCCTCTATCCATAGGTCTACATATACGCGCTCATGGCTAACTCAGAAGGGTGTAAGGACTATAGATTGGCCGGCAAAGTCGCCTGATCTCAATATATTAGAGAACCTTTGGGGCATCATGGCGCGCCGCGTTTATTTTCGTCAAAGGCAGTTCGATACTGGAGACCAACTTAAGGAGGTCATTGAGGAGGTATGGGCGACAATTAGTGGAGAACTCCTACAGAGCCTTTATCGTAGCATACCTCGCCGTCTGCTTGCAGTGCTGAATGGACAAGGCCGTGCGACAAAGTACTAAAATAAAGACTTTTTTGGTACTGTACTCTATGGCGTTTCGCGTATTTATTTGCGTTTCGCAAAGGTTTTTAAAAATTGCGGTCCATGCTTTTATGGTAGAGCCAATCTGAGCCCGGAATCGGTCCCACCGTGTGTTTTGCGATATCATACAGTGTGCTTTTTTATGTTTTCGGCCTGTGTTGCTTGAAAACCCTTCCGACGATGGGTGTATTTATTTGCGTTTCGCACACTGTACGACAGCACCTGAGCGAACCTGTGTTTGACGATCCAATCACTCCCATGCGATGCCCGCATTACTCCGCAGTTATGAATCTCCCGTAGAGTACGCCACGGTGTCCAAGCATATCGCATGTCGTTTCGTAACACAAAGCCGCGACAACATACAAAACGCATTTGCCCGACACGCCTTCAAACCTGTCGCCCTCGCAAGTGGCTCTGAAACGTCATTC